ACCCCACATGTAACAGCACCCCTCATGTAACAGCACCCCACATGTAACAGCACCCCTCATGTAACAGCACCCCTCATGTAACAGTACCCCTCATGTAACAGTACCCCACATGTAACAGCACCCCACATGTAACAGCACCCCACATGTAACAGCACCCCTCATGTAACAGCACCCCACATGTAACAGTACCCCACATGTAACAGCACCCCACATGTAACAGCACCCCTCATGTAACAGTACCCCTCATGTAACAGTACCCCACATGTTACAGCACCCCACATGTAACAGCACCCCACATGTAACAGTACCCCACATGTAACAGCACCCCTCATGTAACAGCACCCCACATGTAACAGTACCCCACATGTAACAGCACCCCACATGTAACAGCACCCCTCATGTAACAGCACCCCACATGTAACAGTACCCCACATGTAACAGCACCCCTCATGTAACAGCACCCCACATGTAACAGCACCCCTCATGTAACAGCACCCCACATGTAACAGCACCCCTCATGTAACAGTACCCACAGGTTTTATGGGGTTTTGGAAAGTTACAGGCAGGGCCGACACGACCACTAGGCGGATTAGGTTGCCACTTAGTGCACACTGGCCCGGGGGGCACAATGCCCGGGTGACCAGCAGGAGAAGAAGCACATCACAGCGCTCCCCTCCTGCTGGTCTCTGTATGTAGCGAGTAGAGGGGATTGTTTCCCCCTATTTGGCAAGAAGTGCACACAGCGAGTGCCAAGCAGTTTCGTGTCAGACCGGGTAGAGGGAAACAAGCTCCTCTATCACAGTCCCAGCTCGGCCACACTACAACATGGAGGTGAGCTCGCACAGAGGAAAAGGAGGGGCAGGGTTTAACAAGACACACATTTAGGGGCTGGGGGGGGTAAGGAGACACATGGAGAAAGTGGGGGGTTCAAAAGACACATGGAGGTGCTTCCGGGGTAAGGAGACACATGGAGGGGCTTCCGGGGTAAGGAGACACATAGAGGGACTTGGGGGTTAATAAGGGGCTGGGGAGTTAAGGAGACACAGAGGGGCTGGGGAGTTAATTAGGCCCAGAGGAGGCGGGCTGAAAGCTAGCCAGATAGGAGGCATGTGTGGGTGTGGTGGGTGTTTCTATGTTTCTATGTTTCTTTGTGTAGGTGTCACATGTGGGGGGAGGTGTCACTTAGGTTAGAGGTGGGGTCATATAAATAGCAGTCATTTTGTCCCCTTACCTCAGCCATCTTAGAAATAATGGCTGGTAACATCTTCCCTTTGCTGCCTGTTGCCACTGCTTGTTTCCACGGCCAGGGTTATGGATATTGATGCTATTCTGGCTGCCCTCCGGGCTGAGGCCCTTCAAGATGGTGGCCGGCACCTGGAGTCTCAGCTGGCACGGCTGCAGGGTGCTGCTGTTATGGCTGCTCCCTCATCCAGCAGCCATGGTGCCCAGCGGCGTCGTGCACGCCCCCCTAACCAGTATAGCCCCTCGCGGTATAGGCTCGGGGAGGCCGGCAGGTGGCCGCGCTAGCGCGGACCACGCTGCTTCCAACCTACCACTCCCTCCGGTCTCGCGGGCTATGAGGAGGGCGGCCGCGAGACCACAGGAAAGGAGCTCGCGGGTGGTGCAGCGTGCACCAACTACCCGCTCTGCACGGACAGGATCTCCTGCGGTCCGGGGGCAGGTAACCCCCTCTTCTGGACGGGTGAGTAGGCCGCAGGTCAGCTGGGCTTTCTCCAGGGGGGGTGGGGGGTTCAGGGAGCTGTGGCAGGGAGCATGGATCGCCTAATCATCACAGTAGCCCCCCCCCACTCTCCCTCCTCACTCTGTCTCCCCTGGGCCTGCACCTACCACTACCTCTACTGTTCCCCCACCTTCATCTGCTCCCTTGATGGCTGGGGCACATTCTGTTTTCTCTGGGCCTGCTCCTGCCCATTTCCCTTCCTCCTCACCTGGCCCCCTCGTGGCTGGGGCAGTTTCTGGTTCACCTGGGCCTGCCCCTGCCGAGCTATCTGTCCCTCTCACAGATGGATCACATTCTGCCCTACTCCTGCTGGTTTCCCATCCACTTCCCCAGGCGCCTTCACGGCTGGGGTGGGTGGGCTGGGTTCTTTTTCACCTATAATGTCTTCACAGATTAACCCTGGTCGACTCACGGTGCGGTTTCCTGATGCTGTGACTGGTGCAGTTCCTCCTGTGGTCGCAGTTCCCATGGGACCGTTGCAACCTACTGGCCAGGTTATGGTGCCACAACTGCCTCATTCTGTTTCTGCCGGTGAGTATGCTGGTCTACCAGGGTCTGGGTCGGGGGGTACTGGCGCGCCGGTCTTTACTACAAACCATAAGAAATGTTTTGCATTCTCTCGAAAAGGGCCCCCGCCCGGGGGTTTCAACCCCCTCGGCCCTAGATGAGCAACTTCGGTCGGGTTGGGCAGTTAGCGGTGGGCCAAATCAGTCAGGGGTCGCGTCATCGCCCTCGGCTCCCCCTACGGGGCCCAGGGGCCCCCCGCAATCTGTTCCCCTGGTGGCGGAACCCTAGCCTCCCGGGGGGTCCGCGGGTGATGCCGCCGCAATCTCTGGGTCAGGGGTTGCACCCGCCGCGCATGGGGCGGCCTATATGTGCTGGTCAGGCCCGCTGGGCCTTCATTTGTCTTCGGACTTGCGAACCAAGGTAGAGAAAGGGGAATTCGTAGAAATCTTTTCTCTCCTCCCTATGGAGGACCTGCCTCGGGTTGATCCGGATGCAAAGGAGTCAGAGAAGGACAAGGAAAAGTTTCGGTATCAGAAGATACCAAAAACTTTCGGCAATTGGATCAGGGCTTTTTCTATCCTGGCTAGTGTAATAGGCGAAAAGTCTCCTAACAAATGCTCTTCCCTGTTTTGCTACCAGGATATGATATGGAATGCGTGCCGGATTTATGGCGGGTTAGGCTGGTGGCGTTACGATGAGCAGTTCCGCCAACGCTTAGCAGTTCGCCCTTCCATGGGTTGGGATCAAATGGATATCGGCTTGTGGTTGGCCATCATGACCCGCCCGGCCTCGCATCAACGGGGGCCTCTCGTCCTTTCTTGGGGGGGCCGGTGCTGGGTCCTCAACCACAGCGTCGGCCAGTCAGCGAAGAACGGGCTGTTGTTGGCAATATAATGACGGACAATGTAAATTTGGTTCGGGTTGCCGTTTCAAACATGAGTGCTCTGGGTGCGGCGGGT